ACTTTAATATTATTTTTTGAGAATATCCATCAAATATTTTTAGTTACTAAAAAAAAAGTAAAGACATTCTATATTTTTTTTAACAATTATTTTTTTAGAAATAATCTTTAAAAGTGTAAGATTTTTTTAATTATAATTATTATTACAATATTACTCAAATTGAATTATAATTAATTATTTTTATATAACATAATAGCTATAACAATTTGTCTTATACTATATATAAAATTAGAATTTATTTCATTTTTATACTATATATAAAATTAGAATTTAATTCATTTTTATAGCACTTTTGTAGTTATAACACTACATGTTTATATGTGCTAGCAGTTCCCATCTTGGGATATTTTTCTCTCTCTAGAGGATGAAATTCCCGATCTGGGATTAGGGTTCTTAGTCTCCCCCATCATTTCTCAGTTCCGATCTCTGATCTTCGTTTCTTTCCCATTATCTTCGATTTTCTCTCCTTCATCTTAGCCATAGTTAGATTTTGCGGTCTTTATTCCCCTGTTTCCTCCCCATTTAGGGGCAATTGTTTCTGCTTCCTTTTGCAACTAGGGTTTTTAGTTTCGCATATATAATCTATCTTTAATCCCTTTCCCTTTGGGCTTCTGTCGTGTCTTACTTCCCTTTTCTTCTCATCCACAGGGTTTCTCTTGGTCGAATCACCTTGAACAGGCGGGGTAAGGGTTTGTGGTTAGTGGTCGGAATTCACGGATGCCATGGCAGACAACTTGGTGAATCAGCTTCAGAATTTTAAACTATCTGAAAGGGAGGAAGGTGGAATCTCAATCACTGACGATGATATCAGCGCAGGAATTCAAGAATGTTCTCAGAGCCTTTTTGGTCGAATTTATGGTGAGAAGAGGGTCAACTTCACAGGCATGAGGAACACACTACAGACAGTTTGGCAAACCCAGAAGCCGGTAACTGCTAGAGCTCTGGGACATAACCAATTCCAATTCATATTCCAAACGGAAGAAGACAAAAAAAGAGTGCTGACTGGCAAGACTTGGTCGTTCGATGGCCAATACTTGTTGTTGAAGGAGTGGAACCCAACAGAAGAAGGACGAACGGAAGAAGCAGACACCATCCAACTATGGGTACAGATATGGGATCTACCACTTCACTGGGTCTCCGCTGAGATTGGTCTCAAAGTAGGGAAACTTTTCAAGGAAGTTCTGGATGTGGTAGTGCCGGATATGGGAGTTTATGGAGGAAGGCTGGTCAAAATCCTGGTGGAACTAAATTTGAAGGACCCCATCCTGCGAGGCACCCATATTCGTCTTGGAGGAGAAGCAAAGTGGGTACATTTTAAATATGAGAACCTGTTAACTTTCTGCTACTATTGTGGAAGGATTGGGCATGCAGACCGTAATTGTGCTATAAAGAAAGAAGATATCAAGAAGAATAGCCTAAATATTGGACAATTTGGTGAATGGTTAAGAGCCTCAGTGTTTGGATACTTGGGGGGTAGAGGTAATGTGAATAGTGAGAGAAGTGACTCTGGCCTCAATGCTGAGGGACGGAAAGAACCTGTTTTCTCCTCTGATCCTCTTGTTGAGGAAATAGAGGGTTACCCTCCCAAAGGGAGGGAAACAAGACTTGTGCCCTCAGAGTCTGAAGCTAAAAATCAGGCTTTGACTCAAGGAAACAAATCTGCTGAGTTTGAAAAAGGGGAGAGTGAGAGTCCTGTTGATGTCTCCTTAAGAATAGTGGTCTCTAATAATCTGGATACTAGAAAAGAGCAGGCTGAAGACTTAATGTGCTTAGGTAATTTAGTGCAAGTCCCTGTCCAATTAGCTACTAAAAGAATAATTGATGATCTAACTCAGCCATATGACAGGAAAAAATGTTCTTTGAAAAAGCCTGTTATTAAAGATAAAAAGAAGTGTTTTGCTTCGAGTAAGCAGGAAGAAAACTTATCTCCTCAGATTGTGTTGAATGATAATAATAAGAGATCTTTTGAATCTGCTTCTGATTTCATGTCTTCTGATAATGATCCTGTTAAAAAACTGAAAAATTCTCTTTGTGAAGTTCAACCATGCTTGTCAAATAATAGGGTGGAGGAAACCAGCCATAAATGGTCCCAAGTTTCCAAATGAAAGTTTCGGTGTGGAATTGTAGAGGTCTGGGAGGGCCCTCTACAATTTCCCAAATCAAAGAGATCCAAAGAACTCACCTCCCAAATTTTGTGTTTTTATCAGAAACAAAAAAGAAAAATAGCTTTGTTAAAACTGTTTGCAAAAAATTGAAACTTGAAGATAGGTGGATATCTGTTGAGCCAGTAGGGCTCAAGGGAGGGATTCTCTTGTGGTGGGATAGGTCTATTACTATTTTGGATATTATATGTCGTGATTTTTGTATTGAGGTGTGTTTTCTTTATCCTGGGTACAATATTAGGTTTTGGGGGGTTTTTGTTTACTTAAGTACTGATAAGAACATAAGGAAAACCCAATGGCAATCTTTAATCAGGCATAGATTAATGTGGGGTGATTGTTGGTTCTTAGGGGGTGACTTTAATGATCTTTTGTTCCATTCTGAGAAAAAAAGGGGCAAAATGAGGGAGGATTGTAGCTTCATTAGTTTCAGGAATTTTGTTAGACTGATGGGCATGCAAGATGGGTATTATCAAGGGTATCCTTTTACTTGGGCTAACAATAGGCAGGGTGAGGGTTTTGTAGAAGAAAGACTAGATAGGATCTTTTTCTCTCCTGGATGGCTCTTAACCTTTCCCTTGTCTAATATTAGGCATATTCAGATGATATCTTCAGATCATTATTTACTGCTGCTCCACACAGATCCAGAAATAAGGAAAGGAAAAAAGAGATTCACTTATGATGCAAGATGGGAAACAAATGAGGGGTACAAAGATGTTGTTGCGGCTGTCTGGAAGGATCAGAAGGAAGATTGTGGCTTGGTGGAGATCCAGAAGAAATTGAGGGACACCAGATTAGCTCTGCTGAAGTGGAATACCCAGTCACAAACAAACTCAGCAAAGCAAATAGAGATTTGTAAGGCTAAGCTGCAAGAAATGGCTCTGCTGGGCAAAGACAAAGATTGGAAAGAATGGGAATGTGTCAAAGCTCAGCTGCACACTGCCTACTTGGATGAAGAGATATACTGGCAAAATAAATCCAGAATCCTATGGTTGAAAGCTGGGGACAAAAACACTAGGTATTTCCATGCCAGTGTTACTCAGAGAAGGAGAGCCAACAACTTTGACCTCCTGACCAGAAGAGATGGGTCAAAATGCAAAAATGAGGAGGAGAATCTGGAGGAAATTTTGGAGTTCTACAGAGAAATTTTTCAATCCCAGAGGCCAAATATCAATTGCTGCAGCCTGGATGGCATCAAACAAGTGATTGAAGATCATCATAACAGAACCCTTACCCAACCAGTCAAGGAGGAAGAGATCAGAGAAGCACTAATGGAGATGCATCCTAATAAAGCCCCAGGTAGTGATGGTTTCACCCCCCCCTATTTTTTCAGTCTCATTGGAATACTATTAAAAAAGAAGTGTGTACAGCCATTAGATCTTTTTTCAATAATTGTCTGCTGCCTAGCCAGTTAAATCACACTATTATCTCCCTAATCCCTAAAATTCAAAATCCCCAAAAAGTTTTTGATCTTCGTCCTATTAGCCTTTGTAATGTTATTTATAAATTGATTTCTAAGATCATAGCCAATAAAATCAAACCAGTTCTGCATCTTTGTATCTCTCAGAACCAGGCAGCCTTTGTTCCTGGAAGACAAATAATAGATAATGTTGTTTTAGCCAATGAGTATGTCCATTATCTTAACAGTAAAAGAAAGGGTAAGGTAGGTTTAATGGCCATTAAATTAGATATGGCAAAAGCTTTTGATCGGGTTGAATGGCCCTTTCTTGTTTTGATCCTTAGGAAGATGGGGTTTTGTCACTCTTGTATTTGTCTTATTTTTGCCTGTATTAGCTCTTCTTCTTTCTCCTTTAAAATCAATGGGCAGCCTCAAGGTTTTATTAAGCCATCTAGGGGCTTAAGGCAGGGGGATCCTTTATCCCCCTACCTTTTCATCATCATATCTGAGGCTTTATCAAATCTTATTAACCAAGCAGCAGTATCTAAGCATTTTCTTGGCTTCAAAATTGGTAAGAATGCCCCTATGATCACCCATCTATTTATTGCTGATGACTCTATTGTTTTCTGTAAAGCTTCTGCTCAGAATGCTTCTATCCTTTTGAATATTCTTGATAATTATGGCCAAGCCTCAGGCCAAAAGGTCAATATTGATAAATCCACTATCATGTTTTCCAAAAATACTTCTGGGGAGGCTAAGGCCCAAATTTCCCAAATTTTTCAAGGGATTCAGATTGTAAAATCCTCTAAATATCTTGGTTTGCCATTAGGCTTAGGTAGATCTAAAAAATCCACTTTTAAATATGTTTTTGATTGTGTGTTAGCTAGAATATCTAGCTGGAAAAATTGCTTTTTAAGTGATGTTGGAAGGCTCATCCTCATTAATGCTGTGCTCAGTGCTATGCCTCTGTATGTGATGTCTTGTTTTAAGCTTCCATTAAGTGTTTGTAGAGACATTTGCAAGAGCATAGCTGATTTTTGGTGGGGTAAAACAGGGGATGGT